GCAGAATATTTCAAGAATATATTAATTCAATTAATAAGAATATATTAATACTAGTTGTTTTCAACTCCTACAATTAAACGCAAACCCATGAATTTTTATTTTAGAAAACTCACAAAAATATGCTTCATCAATGTTAAAATTATGCATCTCAATAACATTTAAGAACGGCAAACTGACTCCAACAGTATTATTCTGATTTCAGTGAATCTCCTTAGAAAATACTAGTACATGTTGGAAAAGCAGATTCTAACTCATTACAATTCAACCTCAACCAACATTTTCTTTTTTTTCCTGGAGCTTTTTCCAGATGCAGGGAATGCCAATTTCGACTATCTGCACCTTGCAGGCTCGCCCATCTGTTTTCAGCAGACTCACAAGAACTTTCGCAACAACCCACATACATGAAAGACAAGGGACCAACAATCATGCCCACGGCAGGACTCAAACCCTTTAGACTGAGGAGCTGAGTTGGATCACGCTCTAGCCAACTCAGCCATCCAGATCAGCCCAAACTCAACTGATCATAATACGGTGAAATGTAACAGGTGTATAAAATACTTGCCAAGAGGATTCAAATTATTTTTTATATTAAGGGTGTGAAATAAATGTTTCAAACTAAAAGAAACAATCAAGATCATGCAAGAAACAAAAATTTCAGTCATAAAAAATAAACAAATATTTATCTTATGTGTATAAAATTCTTTGAATTGCTATTGTTCCATTCCTACTCTTCTTAGTTAGAGACTATTTTAATTCATCTTTCTGGGAAGTATTTTTAGACTAGAGTTCTTGTGTGTGTGTGTGCGTGGGCGTGTGCCCGCATTATGTTATATTTTTAATACAGGACTCTTTAATTTTTCCCCTGAAAATTTGTGTTTTTTCCCCTGAGAAATTGTGAAATATCACGATACATGTCTTGTTATTGGATGTTCACTTTTACTACATATTTTTATTATAGTTGGTCAACAGGACTCAAGTCTTTAGGATCTAATTGTTTTTTTCTGTTATGAAGTAAAGAAAGAAGTGCAGCCAAATGCCCAAAATATTGCGTTTGAGATCAGGGCATGCAACAACAAAAAATTTGAATCGTCCAAACATTTCACATTCTGTAACTTTGATCATTTAAAGAAAAAATAGGAAAGAAAACTAGTTTACAAGAAATTTAGTTCTCTATAACATCAACTGTTGTTGTGCAATTAAGGGTTGAGGTTCTCAAAGGGTCAAGTACATTGAAAATTGAAAAATTGAAATCATTGAAAAAAGTGACAATAAAGCAATAAAGTGAAGAGAATTTTGAAAAAAGAAGGAAAAAAAAGTTGATTTTCAACAGCCATAATTTTTTATTTCAAGTACAAAAGTTTGGATTGTTCTTGAGGCAACCACGAGCAAAAAAACAGGCATTTCTACATCCCAAAAAGTTTTTCCAAATAATGGAACGGAACTCAGAAAAATGGGCGTATCCTGTATTTTACAGAACATATATGAAGACTATTTTAGACAGCTACTATGCTAGTATATGTTCTTTCATGAAAGTATATGTTCTTTCATTTGCATAGCATGCAAATTCTCAAATTTTTAGCATTGAAGCTAAAAGAAAGACAATGCTCAAATGTTTGTATAAATCTGTGAATGCAACAAAGAAAACAAAATGTTTTCGTCTGACTGCATCAGCTACTTCAGACCTTAATGTATCATTAAGTGATTTGTATTCTTGAATTAGAATTAAATGACAGTAAGGTGTCTAAAAAATAATGTATGACACACAGTAAAAGAGATTTTATTTTGCCACTCATATAAATAAGTATTTTACACTACAACATCACAGCAGTCCAAAAATTACTCTTTCAGACATCTAGAAGTGAAAGCAGCCTTTTCAGGTCATGTGTAGTGTATTAAAAGTTCAATTTTTGCACTAGTGCTAAAAGTGAGATGATGCTTAAATGTTCATATGCATAGTGAATGCAACAAAGAAAAAAAAATTGACCTCGGCAGCAACTACCGACCTTAATGCATCGTTAAGTGATTTGTGTACTCGAATTAAAGTAAGTCAGTAAGGCTGTCTTAAAAAGTGTTTGCCACGTGTAGGAAAAGAGATTCTATTTTGCTTGTAGGATTGCACGACTCGGCCTACCGGCTCCTACTCGCAATATAAAAAATGTCACTTTTACTATCATATCATAATGACTATTTTACACTGTGGCGTGTCGTCATCATGCAGTCTTTTTTTTCACGGCAACCTCACGGTTTTCTGAGTCTCATGAAAAGACAAACTTCACTCACGCATAGTGGTACATAAAATCCCTCTTTCAAACGATCGTAGAAAAAAATGTATTACTTCTGAAACCTATTAATATTCTTTCCGAAAGTCTCTATCGAGAATGGTTGGCGTTATTTAAATTAAGCGCTAATAAGTATCATAATTCATTCACAATAACTTCAATACCTGAACATCGTCTATCAACATTCTACCAACGTTCGGTAAAAGTATCGATAGGTATGTAAATTTTGATATTGTAAACTGGTCATCAAAGGCAAGTAAATATTCAATTAATTTTGTGTTGATAATTTTCATATAATATGACAAACAAAATTTGTATTGGTTCATGGCCACAATTATTGAGTTGGATAAAAAATTTAGTTTTAATGGCTGAAAAACAACATTTTGGCAAAACTTTTCGCATTTCAACAAAGATTTCTTCTATTTTATTTTGAACTATAAAGTTTGTTTTATTAATTTGTTTTGTTGGTAACACTGATGTTTTGGCCAAAGAAAGAATAGAGAAATGTATGGTATGGATGGGTGGTGATATAGGGTGGAATGGCTGACTTTTCGTGATGTTTAATTTGACGTTTTTGTTATTATTTTGATACTTCTGTGATGTAAAAGAATAGGATGCTATTTAAGTATGATGTCTTCAAGTTTAGATAAAAATAAACGTTCGCGCGGAATTAGGGGCAGGTGTTTATGGTGTGTTAACTGCGTCAAGTGGATTCCTGTACTGTTTATCGTAACAATTGTAGTATGGTCTTACTACGCTTATGTCATCCAGCTTTGTTTCTGTAAGTATTTGTTTGTAATGTTTCTCCTTTATATATGTATTCAAAGGGACATTCTGACAAGGTGACGTTTTTGTAATATAGTCCTTCATGTTCAGGGAATGTTCCCCTATTTAATGCATGTAAACGAAAAGCGTGTGTCATAAACACATTTAAAATCAACTATTTTATGTAAATAGCGAGAAATTATCACGAAAGTTTTACATAGTTACGTTTTGTGTACGCTATATAACCGATGGCAGAAGTGGGTGGGGTATTACAGAAGTAGGTTAAAGATAAAGTCAACCTTTATAGGGGAGAAAAGTTGACCTTCGGAGTGTCTTGACGGAAGGCTACATATTTAAATTATGACAGTGAATGCCATTGTAATACAGACTACCAGAAGAAATAAAATTGAAACATTTTCTTTTGGCATTTCTCTGTTGAAAGTTGCAAAATCTTTAAAATTAAGGAATATGTTTACAAATTGGTACGAATTTTGTGCGTGTTCTATCGTCAATCACTGACAAAAATTGTTCTAGAGAATTTTAGGATTAATATTATGAATGAAACATAAGATGTATTTTTAAACGTGTCTTGAGAGCCTACAGAAAGACAATCGCTACAAGATTATGTAAGTAGTGTTGCAAAACGGATGTATTTGAAATGCCCGTGTAGATTCGATATCTGATTATCGGCAGGATAAGAATGGACAATCTTTCAAAATACATAAAGCTGCCACGCCTGTTTGGAGCAACAGCATTAATTGTCCTCGCCGCCGCCAGAAGCGCTCACACGAGCAGCGGCATCGTCACAGATTGCAGGCGCTTCTGGCAGGTGGCGACACTTCCCCCAGCATCATTCGTTTGACAATTTGTGAAAGCCTGATTTTGACGGGACGTGCGTAAGCTAAGGTCGGAATGGCGCGGGGCAGGCCGAAGAAGAGTTTGGCGGCGGTGAACCGCGAGAAGCGGACGCGCGCCCGACTGCAACGGGCGGCGCTAGCGGGCGAGGAACGAGCGCGCTGGCTTTTGCGCCACGCCGAGTACCAACGTCAGCGCCGCGCGCGCCTGGCGCCCGACGTGCTGGCGCTGGAGCGACAAAAGAACGCTGTGCGCAACCGTCTGCGACGCGCCGCACTGTCACCGGAGAGCCTGGAACGACTGCGCCGGCAGAATCGCGAGCGTGCTCGCAGACGACGTGACGGCGCGCGCGGCGACCTCGCGCTCGACGCCGCCGCGCGTCCTGACCTCTTCGCGACCGTGGGGCTGAGCCGCCGACAGCGCGCGGCGCCCAAAGCACGGACCGGGACCGAGACGGAGAGCACAGGTGAAGAGAGTGCCCCAGTTCCCCTCGTTCCCGAGCTCGACCCCTCCACGTTGCTGAGCAATGTTCAGGTGGAGCTTACAGAGGGGCAAAGCGACTCAGAACTTGATGCGCCAAGGACAGAGGGATAGTGCCCTAAAGCTTGTGTTGTGCAGTGCAATTCATTTTATTGACGTGTCGGCTCGCCTTGCCCCCGTCGCACCCCGTCTTCGCGTCCGTGTGGCGCGGCCCAGGACTGTGAAAGCCCCGAAAACACGATGCCGACTAGGAGTGACAGATAAGTGAATGGTGATTGGAGTTGCCGCCTGTTATATTTATTTTATTCATTGAAAGTGTAGTAGTTGGCAGAGAAACATTTTTCATCCTTAATGTTTTACTGTGTTCTAAAGTGTGATCTGCATAACATCAGAAGATGTTCTCAAATGATATTTCCAAAGATCACACAAGCCTACAAATTATTTTTTTAAATATCGTAATAAAATCAGATGGATTCCAGATTTGAGTTCAGCACTCACTTGTTTAGTCTCATTCTGCAAAAATATTGTAGACCTGTGTAATGTTTGAACCAGAACATTGCTTTTTTTTAAATATATATAAATATTAACCCTCCAGTGTTTCATTCTGCTTGGCTTCAAGCCATGACCAGATTACCCTATTGGCATGCCAGGCGCATTGACTGGCCTGAGACCAACAATGAAATTCTGGAAGAAATATTTGGTAAATGTTTCTCAGAATCACTAAATCACATATACGTTTTTTAAATTAATGAAATGCAAAACAATTTTGTTTTATTGCTATTATTTGTTAAATTACAATGTCAATCCACTTGACTCATTGCTAATATCCTTAATAACGTTGTTAAATTTTAATTAAGAAAATTATTGAGAACTTCTGAGAATAACTACAAATTATCATAAACCTGAAATACATATAACAAAGCACAAATGAATACTTTCCAAAAATTTTGTGAGCTTCTCTACATTACCTTTTTTGAAAAGGGGAAGAAAAATTTTAATTTGAAAATTGTACTGCAAAATCAATCTAGTAATCATGTAATGTAGGATTTCTGCAAAGTTTGTCAAGATCTACAAAAGGTAGTGCCTAGGATCTAAAAAAACTCCAGTTCAAAATTAAAGTAATATGATTTTCTCATAGATGACGTATGAATGTTATGATAATTTACATAACTTTTTAGGGTGTTCACTTCAGTCAAATAAACAAAATTAAGCTCTGTGACCTTCAGTTATAAGAACTGTATATTCTGTACCATGTAAATGTACTTAAACATAATGCAAACGGAATAACAAGAGAATATTGTCAGAAATTTGCTGTGTTAAATGGCCACAAGCATTCAAAGATAAAATGTTGCAAACCCAATAATCACCAGAAATTGTTTATTTGTGCAAAAAAAGCCTTTATCAATTTAGCACATTTTGTTTTGTTTGAAAATCTATGAACACTTTAAGTGGTGTAGTAATTTGTTGTGCCTTTTAATGAGTATTTTTATTATACTTTCATAAATTGTGTGTTATGTATATAGTTAAATGAATTAAAGAGTGCTCCATTTATACATCATTAGTACACAAAATTGTGACATTGAAAAATAAAGTTTTAGTCAAGTGAAGCAAAAATATTTTGACAATACTTTTTATCTTAGAAAAAGTTATATTTCACAAGATCAGGGGGCCTCCTAGATAGAAAGTCACTTTGACTTTGGGTGCAAGATAAATGGTTCTGCACGAGATAAAATTTTCACTTTCAAAATGACTAATTTTGAGATGTCACTTCTTCTTGTCTATTTGTGTTTATCTTATTATTGTTCATAATATTGAATGAAATTAAAATCACATAAGTCCTATTTTTCTCATTCCTTATATTTAATAAATAATGGGAATTTAAAGACCTTCAGTTGGTCAACAACAAAATAATGATAGATAAATAACAATTCAGGACAAGAACCACATAATTCTGTTTAGACTTATTGAGATTTCCTGATAGTATTGGGTGGAATGATTCTATCTTTCTGACCTTTAAAATTTGCCATCTTGTGCTTGAATGTTTTTTTTTTAAAGAAAGGTGATGATATGTGGTATGCTATAAATAGATTGAAAAACTCCATGAACTAAGAAACTTAGTACCTTTTGGTTTGAGAAGTATCATGAAGTCTGAGACCAAATTAAGCGGTTCTTCATTGAGCACTTGAAATAGAAGTAATCCTCCTTAACTTTTATTTTACTCTTGTCACATTAGTAACCAGGGTTCCCAGACAGTCTCCCGACTAAAAATTCATGGAGTCACAAATTACTTAACTTGCATGACTTCACATAGCCTAATTAAGCAATTCGGCTAGCAGCACCAGCATCATGTGCCCAAGGAGGTTTGTGTCCAGGAATGTGTACCCAGAGAGAAGATGCCAAGAATATTGATTCCAATTGTTTGGTATTATTGAATTTTAAGAAGTGTTTCACCTTAAAATGATATGGAAGCATCAGTGGTTGTTGTAGTATTTGCATTTTTTTTTTTTACCCGTAAGGATGCAACTGCACAACTCACGGCACTCATTGGCCATCAACAGGTTTACATATGCAAGGCTTTTAATTTTGTCTTTACTTTTTAAATAACATAGAACAACAATGAAATAGAAGCTTCCAAATGTGTTTTGTGTGTATATTACTTGTTCAGAAATATTGATCATTTAAATTTTGTGGTGGTAGCAGATATCTTGTGGTAATCTATAATGTGAGAAAAGAAATAATTCACAGACAGTTATAATAATTTTATTGTCACATCGATTTTCCTGAAAGTTTACTTTGGGATTGTGATAATTAATAAAATTATTATGACCTTGATTGTGGATGATTGTTTCCTTTCTTACATTATGTATCATTTTGTTATGCATCATCAATATGTATCTTTTCATGTTGTTAATTTAAATATGTAAATAAATGTAGATATTTTGTAAGTAGAATAAAATTGTGAATAAATAATTTTTTTTGTTTTGTGTGTTAGGTTGACTTATTATTTATCCTTAAGTCTCTATTTATAATATAGTAATTACAAATTTATGAATAAATAAAAAATAGTCTACAAGAATTACATCTTGCATGTCTCCTACAACTGCCCTCACCAGTGCACATTTGAACATTAAAGGACTAGTTTTAAATGGTCCTGTTGTAAATTTACAGAAAGTATCATTGTAGAATGTGATTAGCATAAATTAAGCCTGGTTCAATCAGAATGTTGGATGTTGTAGTTTTTTCAGAGAGGATAGAAGTTGTGTTTTATATTTCTACTTACATGATCTGCATTATTGAGACTGAAAGCAAGAATGTCCCAACTAAAATATGATTATCATTGCAGTTAGGTTATCCATATTATCTGGGTCTACTTATGTAATCAGGATGTTGGCAACTATAGATATCTGTATTTGGAGGCTTCTGTAGCTGGATTCATTTGATAGTTAACTGTCCCTGAGGATTCACGCTACAGTCAGCAAGGCTGTCAGTTCAGCCATCATGGGACTTGAGCAATTCCACAGAGGCTCGAAGGAGGTCACACATGAAGGCTGAAAAGTCAGCTCAACTGACTGGTGTAGCCCATCTTGGGCAGCCAAGTATCACTACAGATAACTGATTTTGTGGATCTTCCTAGTAGAGTGTACATTATGTAAATAATCATAGCGGTTTCAAACTTTCTTAAATATCATCCATTAAAATTTACATTACAGAACTGGTTGCTTTGCAAATGTTATGATAACAGGTGGTTTTCTTTTATTTATTATCTCAATTGTTTTACAGAAAAGTGATTGCAAAATTCCTGGTCTCCCAATTTATTCTGATACCACATCGGAAACACCAGAAACAATATTGTTTTACCATAGAGGGAAATTTTAAATGTACAAATCTTCAAAATATGTTAAGAAAAAGGTGGCCACTATCTGGGAGAAGTCAAGGAAATTAAGGATATTATAAAACTTGGACGATATTACATAAATCGTATTGATATTCAACACTTGATATGAATGAGAATCTGAGATGCTACAAAGAAAAATGCTTAGCTGATAAGAGCATTTTAATATTAGCGGTGAATTTATTACATTTGAGGTCATATGTGAATGTAGAAATGCATTAGCAGAGCATTGCTAGGTCCCCAATATCTTTTTTAACAATTAATTCATTTTTAAATTGCAAATATCTCTCCAATATTTATTTTGATTATATTTGTTTTATATTTCAATAATACGTGGAGGCTCCATTAATATGAATCCAATCCTACAAGTCCCTCCAATCCCTTACATGGCAAGGTGAAAGAACAGTTTCCATGGCTTGGTGTGAAGAAACGTTAATTCTTGTTTTCATCTACCATTCTATTCTTTTGCTCTCTCTCTTTCTCTCTCTCTTTCTCTCTCTCTCTTTCTCTCTCTCTTTCTCTGTCTCTCTCTCTCTCTCTGTGTCTCCACGTGTTGTGGGCCCTTGATTAAATTGGTTTACGGCAAAACTTCTGTCCTGTCTGCGGTGAACCAGATGCCTTGCGAATTTGAAACATTTTGGTTTTTGGAGGTACTTTACACAATGCCTCAACATTTTCACAATTTTCCCAAAAGTGGCTCCTCATTTTTGAATTATTTGGTTTTCTGAATATAACAAAGGAAGCTTAAAATGACGCAGGTGTTTTTCTCGTTGAACTTTCTAAATGTTTGAAAATTACAAAAATTCATAATATTTTGGGCGTTTTCCTATAAGTACAATATAAAATATCGATTTTTTTACTTAATAAAATATTTCCTTTTGAAAGAGATCTTTAAATAAGCCTTGTACAATTTTTCGAAAATCTGAATAGCTTTCGCGCAATTTTGCGTTGAACATACCGGTTTTTAAACAATTATTTTTTCAAAAGCAAGTCCAAAACTTTCTTTTGTTTCTGTCTCGGGTAGAGCAAAGAACGTTTAAAAATGACGTCTGTTCTATTTTCGGCGAACTGAATTTTTCGAAAATTGCACGGGGAAAAAAGCTATTGATAGAGATTTTTAGTTCCCCATATACGTAGTATAAGGAAAGTTACGTAATGCTGCGAAAAATCTATTTCAAGATTTCAACAGAAATGCAGTTTTACGTTTTTTTTCTTGACTGAATAAATCTAAATCTAAATACGTGTTTTGGGGTCCCGAGATACAGAAAATGTTTTGTTTTTCAAAACGCCTGTCAGTCCGTCTGTGAACACTACTAGCCTCTAAATCATGCATAGGATTTTTTTCCAAATTGAAGGAACTCCTGTCCATCTGGCTCGAATCTAAACTTTGAGATTGTGAAAAACATTCTTCAAAATTTGGGAGTACTTTACATGAAGGCCTCCGGACACTCACAATTTTATCAAAAACAGCTGGAAATGTTTTCTTTAAATAGTGTAACACACACTTATAAAAGTGGCGTAGGTGTGATTTTCACGGTTAACTCTTAATTTTTGAAAATTGCAAATGTAATAATTTTTTCGGTGTCTTCCTACAACTACAAAATTCAGTATAGAGATTTTTCCTTAAAATAAAATTAGTTCCCCATAGTGAGTTCTTTCATTATGGTCATGCACATTTTTTTGAAAATTTTAGTAGTTTTGGTGCAATATTGTGTACAATATGTGCAGTTAAAAAAAATCACAAATAAGATTTTCTCAAAACGGTTCCAAATGTTTTTTTTTAACTTTTGTTAGGGATAGTGCTAAATGCACTCTGTCACATGACATGAATGCCATACTTCTCTATTCTTTTGTTATTTTCAAAAATACAAAAAAACCTTCAAACGCCATTTTCTCAAAAACGGCCCCATATTTTTTCTTCAAACATTTTAAAGGGATAGTAGTAAGTAGAAAGATCTGACGCCATTGATATGCCCATTTCCAGCAATTTGTAAACACGATTGTATTTGTGAGTTAAAGTACTTAAAATGACTTCAAATGAAGTTTCTTGAAATCTTAAAATGATATTTCCGCTCTACAATTAGGAAACCGAAAAATTAAGAAAATTTAAAAAAATGTGCTTTGAGCGGCGTTAGATGGCAGCAAGCGATATGTGGCAAGTTCAAATAGCTAACCAGACCAAAGGAAATAGAAAACTAATAGGGGAGAGTCTGTGCCATTCTGTTGCACCACTTGTTTCATTTGTGACATTGTTCAAAGAAAAATGATATTTCGATAAGGTCATGTATTTTTTTAAAAACGACAAAAAAAAATTGTTGTTTTTCTTTGCATATTTTCTCGAATAGCGCAAAGTTTTTTATAAAAATGAGGTAGGTTTCATACTTGTTGAATTTCCGGAAGTGTAAAACTTACAAAATATGCGAAAAAGTATGTGTGGTTAGCACCCCTGGTTTTTGTGTGAATCTCACCTTAGTGTCCAGTTCAGAACCTGACTGTGGTCGACTTTTATCTGGTTGATGGTCAGGAGGAGGAGAATTGTATCAACCTTCATAATTGCAAAGTAGGATTAGAAATGCTCCTTCAGAATCATAGATGTAATTCTCTGTAAGGTTGACATTTATTTTCTTCTGTTCATGGTATGACAGAAAATGTAATGATTTGTGTTATTTCAACAACTGTCCTTTATCCTTTAAAAATCTATGAGTCTGAAGTACTTTTGCTAATTATTGTATTTTCCTGTTACAGTGACAGTTCCAAATGCAGTAGAACGTGGTGAGTACCATGGTGGCATTGCCTGTAAACTTTATAAGATTATTTAATTGATCAAATTGATTCTTTGATCAGAGATATTAATCCGCCAGAATACAAAATATTGGTATTTTTTGCAGTGTTCTATTTGTTGGGATATCACGCATTGTTTATCATCTTCATGTGGGCTTATTGGCAAACCATATTCACTGAGATTGGTCGTGTGCCAAACCAGGTAAGGTTTCATAATAGGCTATAGTTTCCACATACTTCATGTCGTATTTTTTTAAACATTGTAATGAATGTGTATTATCTGTTTTGCAGTTCAGGTTACCACCATCAGAAGTGGAGAAACTGGCAGAAGCAGACACAGAGGACGCTCAGCGCCAAGTTCTGGAACGATTTGCACAGAATCTTCCTGTCACCAATCGCACTGTTACTGGAGGTAAGAAACTATTATACTTTGTCAGATTAAGTATTTACTTCTAAATATTTTAGAAACTTCAATTACTTTCCATTTTTAAATACACTGCTGTAAGTCGGATTATTTGTTAATTTGTTAATAGAGCTTTAGGATTCATTCCATCCTATCTTTATAAATTTTTTGTGTAAAATGGCAATTAATTTAAAGCATATAAATGTATTTTACAATGAGTTTTTCTAAAACGTTCACCAGGCGTTAATAACCATCTCTCTTAATTCAGCTCTTAGTGGAAGGATGTTTCAAGATAGAATGCCAAAACAAACCATTGAATACATGACTCCTTTTTCATGTTGATTTTACTTCTTCAGTAATAAATTGTGTAAGAAAAATTATTTAGAGAGTGAACTTTTTCCCTCACTTAATGTCCAACTTTATACAACTATTTCTCTGTTAAGTATTACACTAATAATTTATCCTTTTGTTTGATAGCAGTGCGGTACTGCCATAAGTGCCAGCACATCAAACCAGATCGAGCTCATCACTGTAGTGTATGTGGGGAATGTGTTCTAAAGATGGATCATCATTGCCCCTGGGTGAATAATTGTGTTGCCTTCACCAATTACAAATTTTTCATCCTCTTTTTGGGTTATGCCCTTTTATATTGTATCTTCATTGCACTTACCTCACTCAAGTACTTCATCAGCTTCTGGAGGGTTAGTATATTGGTAACTATTACCTTTTTTTAAATTCTTTTTTATACTTTCTTTCACCACATTCTGTGGCTATTCATACATTCGTTTTTGTAGGTCCAATTCTTTGTTGTTTGTATGTATGTATGTATGTATTTGGCATTTTGGGTCGATTGCTGCCTACTATCTACGCACGTTTTCTTGATCCTCCAGCTCCCTAGTTCTCGCTCAGCCCGGCATATCATGACCCAGTAGAAAATATGAGTTCCACTCGTAACATCATTGCTCAGTTTGCAGTAAGAGCCACCTTCTCTTAGAATGTGGACTTCTCAGTTTTCACTCTCTCTTTCAAACAACCTCTGCATACCATGCTCCTTCTTACTCAGTAATTTATACATTTATTTCTTCCGAATTTTAAAAATACTTGCATTGTTTCTCATTGCTATCTAGTGCAAGACATGCTATTACGCTGAGTTTTCTGTCGATGACGTTGACAGCACTGCACTGCTGTGACGTAGACAAAACACACCTCTCCCCGCACCCCCTTCTGTGGAGCATTAAGAAAAAGTGTGTGTATTGTAGCTAACAGTGTCCCCCATGCCTGGGCTTAGTTTAATTCCCATGCTTGGGGGTAAAAGAGACGTGTGAAATATGACATATTCCCTTCAACACATCTAGCAAACTCTGCCTGCCTGAGCTTTTCTTAGTCACACAGCTACTGAAACTCAGACAATTTTAAAGGAGAGCTACAACTCTATTTTTGCCCTGACTGAGAATCAAACCTGGGATCACACCATTGGAAGCTAATCTGCTGTGCATGAGCCATTCTATTCATGCAAACAGATAGCCAGTTTCCATAAACTGTGAATGCTTTTGCAAATATTTAGTTTGTAACCATTTTTTTTTACTATTAACAGAAAAGAGTGTTATTGCTTTCAACAACAAAAAAAAAGATATTTTACTGTTTATTTGGTCAAAAGTTCACTATTTCTGCTGAGGAGGAAAAAGTAGTTTTGGGGTTCTCTTTAACAACTTTGAAAGAGTTCAACAACAAGTGAATAACAAAATGACTGCAGTTTGCTTTATACTCATGTGTGGATGTAAAATTGTAGATTTAATATAATTCATTTGTTTAATCTTAAAACTCTGAGAAGTATTAAAATAAAATTTTGAAACTCTCTTAAATATTTAACTCTGAAACTAGCATCTTAAAAATTTCTATATTTTGCATTTATTACCACTTTGAGGATCATAGACGAAACTTCTTGTCTTCTCACAACCAAATTGGGAGGACTACAGACATTCTGATCTTGACTTGCTCTCACAGCATGCTCTCGCATGGCATCTGTTATTGTTTTGAGGAAATAAATCTTTTTTGAGTGATACTAGCACTTTTGGAGCCTATGTGAAACCTATATTCACTTTTGATCTGAATATACTAAAGATTTCTCCTGTTTTCAAGTAAGTGAAGATAGTTGATTAAAACTCCCCCAAAAAATATGTAGGTATTCTGGCAGTACAGTGTCTTGTGCTGGTCCGCAATGTGTAAAATTAGTGGAGAGACGTAGATGTTTCATTCTTTGATGGAAGATTGTCAAGTTGCTCTTTCAAATTTTTGTTAAATTATTCTTGTTATTAAAAATTGTATTGTTTTGTGTGTAGGTATTAATTTTCCTGATATGCTCTATTATGTTAATTATGCTCCAATTTTATTTGCAGAATGAACTGAAAGAAATGAGCCGTTTCCACATACTATTTTTATTCTTTGTATCAGTGATGTTTGCAATTTCACTGGTGTCACTGTTTGGTTACCATTGTTATCTGGTGCTGCACAATCGCTCCACCCTAGGTATAATTTATTTTTAAAATTTTAATTACATTACTCTTTCTTGTATATGTATTTTGATCCCACTTGGTATGTTTGATAAAAATTAATGAAATGTTTCTTGGTGTTTGAATTGTGATTTATTGAAGAAAATAAGGAGGTGTAAAACCACTCTTTTACACTTTTCATGGGACCCAAGGGAAAATGGTGTAAATAAGGGAAAATGATTTTTTTCTTCAAAATTATGAGTACAGTTTGATGTTTTTACATACATACAGTCAGTAAGGATTATAACATGCATTATTAGATGATAACCAATATTACAAGGTCAAATAGAAATCTGACCAAAATTTACATTGGAAATTGAAGGCGTATTGACACAGTGAGGCATAGTGGCACAGTGAGGCAAAGTGAATACCACAATGACACTTCCAAGAGTCTGTGCCATTCACTGATTGTAACCTTTAATGATGCAGCAATGCACTCCTTGTTGAATGAAAGGAGAAATGGTATTTCTACTGTTCGAAAAAAATGTGAAGTTACCATATTCCCAAACTCATAAAATGTTTGTTTTCGGTTATTCGTAATGATTAATTTATTTATTTTTGAAATAATAGAAAGAGTGTTCATGCAACTAATTTACAGTGAAAATTTTATGGAGAATTACATACGTTGATGTTTGAGCTTTTAAAGAATTTGAAAAAATTACATGTATTTTAGTATGAGAAAGTGTGAAATTGTGAAGGATTATATAAATTAAACAAATGATAGTGAGGCTACCTCTTTTAGGCTTGTATCACATGAGCGTTGAGTTTGTGTCACCTAATGCAGATGACTGTAGACACATCACATAACACGCACCATAGATTAACACTATCACGAGAGGACACATGAGTGCTCTCGTTTGTTGTACCCACAGCTGAAGCAAGACACTCGAGCTACAACATAAGTCAAGATATAGTATGTTTTCTAGCTTTCAACCCATGATGGGCTTTGGCAACACACACATCTCCAAGAGCACTTGTGTGGTTTCGTGTAAGATACAGTGTTAATCTACCGTGCGGGTTAAGTGACTTATGTACGCATGCATCAATGCATGTGGCATCATCAACGTTAGCTGATGCGTGTCAACTAAACGCAATACTCGTGTGGCACAGACCACAGACCTTCTATCAATGCATATTAGCCATTTTTTCTATATTTTTAAATACATCTAATGTTATGAAATGTAAAATTTGTATAGGCCTAACTATTCAATAATGATTTTCACTATATTTAAATCTTCTAGTCTTTGTGTAACATTTCATACCTCTTTATAATATCGCACCATTTCAATAGTCTTTCTGTTATGGCCATTTTTTGAATGTGGCAAGGTGGTGAGAAAGTGCAGCGGCAGTGCCTGTTTTGCGCAACACAATGTGCTTTCCCAATGGTCTTGTGGCAAGCACTATCACAAATGCGGGGTATTTATAACATTACGAATATACGAAAACTGATGGGTCCCACAAGAAATGTTGTAAATGCTGGGAAAAAGCAAATTATGGGAATGTGAAAGTGGGATTTTACTATAATTTCAGTTTTATTAATCATTTTGGTGTTCAGTAGTACAAGTAAGCTGCTATTTCAGAATTTAAACTTCATTTGTACTTTTTTCAGAGGCCTTCCGAGCACCAGTATTCCAGGCAGGCCCTGACAAAGATGGGTACAGCCTGGGAAAGTACAATAATTTCCAGGAAGTGTTTGGTGACAATCCCAAAACGTGGTTTTTGCCACTTTTCACCAGGTAGGTTGAAGATATTTTCTTTAAGTGACTGCAATACATTAAATGAACAGAAACTATCTAACAAAACTCACCATTTGTGAAATAGTTACTGTTTATTCCTCGAAATATTGAATATTCTGTTACATGAACTTGTGGTGTTCAAAATTCTTTTTAGGTAATTTTTAGAGTCAATTTTTTTAAATGAGCATTTATGATATTCTTTATATTTTATTCTTAATGGTTTTCGTATACTGTATTTTTTTATATGCAAACTATGAAAATTTGAAATTATGTTACTTTTATATTTTTACGCATCAAATATGAAATAATTTTTACTAATCGAATATACTTTAGTTTCTCAAGAATGAGTGTTTTTTCATTTTGATAGAACGAAGTAGTGGGATTGCTGATGAGGTGTTTTTATTAATAGGTTGAAATAATTGAAGTTGTCAATTTAGATTTATTCATAGCCAGCTATCAACAGGTCTGCCATCATCATCAGTCTCACTATGTGTTAAAAGTTGGAAGACACTGTGAGCCCATACCATGGAAAGCCAGCTATGAATGAATCTAAGTTGACAGAAATTACTAATTATTTTCACAGAGGAGGATTTACTTTTTTAAACATTTTTTAGATTGAATAAGAATCGTTGAGTTTGAATCACTGATCGAATAAGAATTGATGAGTTACAGCCTGGTCATGAGAAGTGGCTACATGATTTTGATCTTGTAATACAAGAACTTGCATTTGCCACCTTTATGGGTTTTTATGTTAAAATGGAAGAACTTCATCAACTACTATGTTGCTTTCATGTACTATTTCTATTGGTTGAATTTTTAGACAATTTTACTTCCATTTACTTGTTTATTATTATTATTATTATTTTTATTATTATTATTGTTGTTGTTCTTTCTTTCTTTCTTTTTCTCATATACTACTACTACTAGTAGTTTACAGAGTTATGTTATGCTGTAGGAGAAAGTGCCTATTTTTTTAATACAAAACAATATTATAGGTCCTTGATACTGAAAAAGCACTTTTTATAAAATGTCTGTTCATATATCTGTGAACACTGGCAGCTAAACCGTGTAAAGAATTTTCAACTAAATGACTTAATTTATCTAGATGATGTTGCAGCCAATGAAATTGGAAACTGATTGTCTAAGTATTGAATGCTCTTAGGACGTTTTCAAAATTTTCTACAAAACTTCCAATTTTAATTTTTTTAGGAGGAGGGATAATAGCAAAGTAAACTCATAAGAAAAGGTCCAATTTTCATTAAAACCTCTGAAGTTTTGAGAATTGCCAACATTTTTAATGTTTTAATGTTTTCCTAATAAAATCTGCTTTGCAAATATTCAGCTATAACACTAGAAACCCCTGCAGCAGCATTTTGACCCACTGTCATTTTTAAGTCCATGTAACCTATTTGTTTTTATAGAAAGGATTTAGTTATTTGGCGACTTTTCATTATTATCATTTATTTACAGTTTTTTGAATATTGATACATAAAAAAATGTTTTTCAACAAAATAATGGAATTTACTGACATGGTCTGAGAGGCATCACTTCATCTCTTAGGGTACTGGCTCTGTACTGTAACTTCTGTTTTGTGTATTTCAATGTTGAACATTTTCAATTATGCCTCCTAGAATTTCGAATACCTTTAGAAAAAATTTGTAAGCATTCCTTTCACTTTGCAATATTTTGTGACCTTCTACAATAGAAGCAACGTGTTGAATATCGAGTTGTTTCATGATGATACAGCAAATATATCTCTTTAAGTTTCAAAAAGCAAATTTTATCACCAGAAGGAAAAATATTGTTATCACTTCAAGGTTGGATAAAAAAATCCTTTTTTTCAAATCATTCATATAAAGAAGTGTTTGTGGTCAGAAAGAGGACTTACGTGTACAAAACAGCCTTATGGACTCCAGGTGGTGGTAATGTGCCCAGTTTTACTTAGTTTTTTCAAAGTCACTGCCTCATTTCATGATTTTTGAATTAATAAGATACTTGAAATGTGAAAAGAAATAATATGCTTTCCCTACTTTCATCTGAAATACTATTTTACTTTAGAATGAAGCAATACATTTCAAAACTGAAGCTATAGCTATATTATAAGTCAGAGAAATTGGGATAATTTTCTTTTAGAATCCCATCATCTAACATACATCAAGTACCCAATGGTGTGAAACTGGAATTAATTTTAAAATATTAACAACATTGTTGAATTATTATTGAGTAGTTAAACAGGCATTTTTCCCTTCCAAAGTCGATGTATTTACAGTTGATGTAATATGTATTAAAGTCAGTGTATTATTTAGGTCTTGAAAATTGGACAAATAGAGTGGACAGTTGTGACTTATGGTGGGTAATCACTAAAAATGTGTGTGCCATATAGTGGAAATACTATGAAAGGCAACAGAGGGGAAACATATGGAAAATGTAGCTACGAACCACAACGAAGTGGATGTTGATCAAATATTTGAGGAGTAACATACAAAATATGCTTTATAACTGTGTTGTGTACAAGTCGTTACTGTTCAGAATATTCCATCTAGATATGTTCATGTTTGCATAGTAATCTGAAAAGTTAATACTATGAAAACCTTACCAAGAAATGAGAAATGTCATTTGAAACTTGGAATAATTTTCTTTTAGAATCCCATCATCTAACACACATCAAGTACCCAATGGTGTGAAAGTGGAATTGTTTTTAAAATGTGAACAACATTGTTGTATTATTCTTGATACAACTGTATTATTCATATGTTAACTTTTACTTTTTAATGTAGTATATACAATTGTTTTTGTTAATTAGAACTTTCTGGTCAAGATGTCTTCATTTCCAACCATAAAGAACAATAATGGCAGAAATGTTTGAAATATGTGAAAGACGAGGTATAATGATTCTATTATATATACTCAATATTAACTCAATTATTATACAAATATATACTCAATTATTATTCATAAGTGATATAGCAGTGAAAAAAAAAATGCAATACTTCTTTTTAAGCAGTATTACTAAAGGTTCAGTATCAAAACCTTCTCTGGGCATTCTAAGGGATACTGAATAGCCAAGCGTTTTAGTGTTAAATAATGTCATGTACAATGTTTTGAAAACAAGTAGTTTTCATCCAATTTTGAGTGATATTGTGACAGGTAGAAAATTAGTAGTGCTATAACAGCAAATGCATTTTTGTATAATTAGAATGAATGTTATATAAAATTGCAAATTATACCCTTCTAATTCATCATCCATCTCATGCAAACCCTCTCTTCAGCGAATGAAGCACAGATTTGAAATAGCAATTTCAATGATTTGCAATTTTTCAAGTTCAAAATTTTTAATCCTAGAGTGAATGTGCCAATTTCACTTTCATTACCTGACACAATGTGATTTTTGTTAACACAATGCGGCCATTCAGAAAATAAAAGAATAAAAACTGAACTCTTGTATCTTCGAACATTATCAAAACACACTGTGCACACAGGCAAATATTGATAGAAAGATATTAAATGTAGCATAGTCTGTTGTTGAATTTTCAACGAATGAGAGAGCAAAGGAATGAGAGAGAAGACCATGGTCTGGTGAAGGAAATTCACAACCCTCTTCAGGGTTATTATTCCACATATACCATATTCAGAAGCACAATTTTGCTGTACTAGAAGTGGGAGTAAGTTAATCTTCGAATGGCAGGAATTGAACATTGGCCTTCAGATTAATTCAGTGTAGTGGAATCACTTCTCATCTACTTTCTCAAGAGATTGTCTGATGAGTTGCTGAAAAAATATATTGTAAGTTCTAGCATAATTCTTACAGTTGAAATCAAAATCACTCAAAAATTATAAATAAGTTGAAAAAATAAACTTGAAATGATTTAAATTTCTAATATTGAGGAATAGATTGCATTAAGAAAGAAATATCTAGCTTCAAATTTGCATAAATCAAACCTTACAAAATTATCAAACTTACTTACCTGAAGCCTTTCTACCAAGTTTCCAACAAAATAATCCATTCCTAATTATCCCTTCAATGCAGAATACTGCCTTGAGACATGTCCTTTCACCTCTATTTGCAAAATCATCTGCAAATTGTCCTGAGGTCAGTTTTATTTTGGTGAGAAATTATACTTCGTAATGGCAAAATGAGAGAGCTGACCAATTAGTCAGGGTAGCTTCAATATTTTCTTGTAGTGTGAAATTACAAATCTTGTCAGAAAAAAATTAAATTTGTAATGTAAACCTGGGAAACGTCAGGTTTGTTCCAGTAAATGAGTGACAACCCTGAAAAAAGTCAGTTTAAAAGAAACATCTTTAAAAAAGGTTGTCGTCAATGTTTTTGGAAAAGCAAGTACTGTTCGCTTGATTTCTACTTGAAATTGATACAATTTATAATTAACACAAGTTATCTGAAAACTTTTTCTTTGAACTTTTTTATAGATAAAACAAGTGGCATGTACAAAAATGGCATGAGTCTCATTTTGGTAAACTCTGGATTTTCAAAAATTGCGAATTTAGAAATAATACAAGAAAGTATGTGCTGTTTAAGTACCACTAGTTTCATAATATTTTGAAAATGACACAGGAGCTACATGTAAATTAAAATATCTTAATGTATATCTTAAAATATCTTCCTAACAGCTAAATCTAAATCTTTTTCATAACATGTTTACAAAATTTGAGCTCAAAAGCTTCTAATCTGAGTGAAATATGCATGACATCCATTCTCACAGACCAAACATCTCGATTTTGGGATACAAATCTGCACGTACCTTCTTGCCACCTGTACCTATCTTAACCAATTTGGAACATAACTTATAGATCTTAATGCTGATGTGTGCATGAAATTAGAGTTCAAAAGAACATGGATTTCACAAGCAAAAATTTGATATCATGTTGTTGATGTGATTCCAATACTTTCCTTCGCTCAACGTAAGTGCCACTGGTCATGATATTTCCCAGAGCATGAAAAATATTATTCAAACTTTATTGGCATCTGATAGATATTGGGA